CCAATTTCGCTACTCGAGGACTATTACTAATAGTCCTCTAGTAGCGTAGCCAATCAAAATGCAAGATTTGCATTAGTCCACTAGTTGGGTGATACTAATATACTAATAGCCCACGCCGTGGTCATTTGATTGTGGCTCGACCGACGCGGCAGAGATTTCAGAGCTGCCCTTCTCGTTATCATAACCCAAATAACTTCAGCTCAAATAACTTCAACAACTGTTTAATAATAGCAGTGTTTTACTCTACAATCCTCTGTTCGCTTTAATTTCCCGACTAAATTTGTTTTCTTCTAACGTCTAAGTTATACAAGCGTTGCTGAAATATAAATTTTCTCGCCTTTGTGGCCATCTCTATAAATGAGCTGATGTTGATAGCTTTAATTATATCACACATAAAGATACAGGTCTTATATGAAAATTATCAAAATATTTGTCACTACTAAATCAACAATAGAACTGAACAATCATTAAATCACTATCATTTAAACCCAAAATCACGGAAATCGCGTCACGTATGCATTACCCTTAAATAATACCATAAAACCAGAAACCCCAAGCACCTAATGGATTTCGTTTGTTTATTTATCTACTTATTTTTTTTTTTCGGCCTTCAACATAGATTTTTTGTTGTTGGTGTTCTCCCTTAAACCAAACTGTAAACTGCAAATTCTTCCTTCATCTCTCCTGTCCTACAATTAGACATAACTAGACTGTGATTTAACTCGAAAACCTAACAGCTCATTCACCCTACAGTCTCATTTAAACAAGACTATAACGGTTACCTCATCTAAAACAAACTATATTAACTAACTAATAATGTTACAATATTTATATTTACACTGAGAAAATAAAGCTGTTCAAAAACGTAACTTAATTGAGTCTTTTTTTAAAGTTATTTTATTATTATTATTATTAATTGAGTTGTTGCATTTCTTCTATCCCAAGAAATTAAAAATTACTTCTCAGCCAAGCTTAGTTATTAAACTTTATTGCCGTATCTCTGTTATTGATAATATTTGAATGTATAGAGCAGAAATCTGGCCAGAAATTGATTTCAGATTAAAAACGTTTTTCATTCCTAATGTCTGATGACGTTCTTATGAAAAAGAAATGTAAACGAAAATGAGTGAAACTGAATTAATTTTGTCAAATCCTTTGCAGAGTTGTTGATGGGCACTTGTATGAACATTTATCTCATAAGGACAAATTTAGAGTTCAACAATAATCTGAAACGTAATTTTCTTGAACATGTAGCTTGTGATTAGTCCTACTCAACGAATCCACAGATTTAACGAGTAGGACTGGGTTGGAGTATTTTGAGTTTTAGCATCAACCAAAGTCATATTCAGTTTGCGTTCCAGCTGTGTCTTCAACAAAAGAAGCATCACTATCTTCTGTTATTCCAATCCCGTGATCAGCACGTTCACAAGAAGTTCCTCCTCCACCAGTCATCATCACTGATCCATCACCACTACTGCAGTCACACCAGAAGCCGATCTTGTTGGCGCTTTGGATGTTTCCACTGCACTCAGCCTGTTGAAGCCCGTCTGTTGACATGTACTGACCGCCATATTGAACCGTAAAGCTTCCCAAGCACTGGTCACTGGCCCAAACTTTGCCATTTCTAAAGTCGCCATAACTTGTGATTTTTGATCGGAATGTT